ATGCATCCACGTAGATTAGGAAGATGATCGGGCCAGCTGACGATGAAGAGGCCGCCCGATCATCCAAGATATGATGACATCAGCAGTCGGGAGACTGCTAATTTTTCGGAACCCCCTCTGTTCAACAGATACGATAAGCTCAGATCCGTACCGCGCCGCTTGCCGTATCCCTAAGGATAAATCCCGCGGAAGCCCCGAAGTACGGACACAGACAAAAAGGGGTTTTTCTTTCTTTTTGCTTTTGTTTTCTTTTTGAAACGGCTTTTTCATTTTGTTTGGTTAATAACTCCCGCACGGGCGAATAGCGGCCGCGGTATGAAAAGCAAGGAACGGTTTCGGTTGGAACCTTTTTTTTGAATTTTTGCGCGCGCGCCTAAGCTTCGACTTCTTCGCGCGTCTCGCACCCCCGTTTCTTGTTTTGCATCCCCGCGCCATCTTCCCTTCTTGCTGCGCGCGTTTTCCCCATGCAGGACTCTTTGTCTTCCCCCCCCGCCAAGCTCGATCCTTACTCCGCGAAGTGATTGGCCGCGTAGTTGGGATGCTCAGATCAATGTGGAGAGCGGGAAACCGCGCACCACTTGAACTGACACCCCAATCACGCAGGACCATGCCATCTCGAGAGGGTCGAACCCTCTAACTCCCCACCTCCCTCCTGTCTTGCTCAACTACAACCTGCGCTGCCCGCACCTCGCGCTGACAACCCGCCGCCTCCCGCGCTATAAATTCGCGCAACCCTCTCCTCTCTCTCTCTTTGATCTCGGCTGCAATGCTGTGCGAGCTATGCGCGAAGTCCGCGGCGCCGAACAGGCTCGACGTGCCCAAGGATGGGTCGAGTGACGACGCGGGGTGGGCCCGCGGTAGTCTCGGGCCACGCAGTCTGAGGTACTGAGGAGTGGTGGGGATTGGACGCCAGCCGTGGCAGGGCCTTGTGGCTATGGCGGTCGGTGGTCTTGGGAAGTTTTGAAGGCGGCGCCTGGGGGCAGCCGCTAATTGAGAATTTTTGTGTACAAGAAGGACTCGCTTATGTCTCCACTGCTGCTTTGTCTATGCATGACGTGTGTGTGAGGCCCCGAGTGATGGGAGCTTGTTGCGAGCATGAGTGATGTCAAAGGTCTATGGATGATTGGATGTCCTGCCGAGGGTTGTTGATTGCCTGCATATATGTGTGCATGTACTTATCCGGGCGGGGACGGAGGAACAAAACTGGGGGACCGTCTGCTTAGGAGTATGAGTGTGTTAATCCCGTTGTTCCCCTCCCTTCCGCGGCCCTTCGTGCGCGCCCGCGCATTCTCGATGTAAACTCTCTCTCTCTCTCCCTCTCYCTCTCRCCTTCCTTTTTGAACTGATAGCCATCGCTTTTTGAGCTTCTCGACYCCGTACCKGTGACGTCAACCGCCTGCGTCCGCGYGCGCGGTCGACGCCCCCKYAAGGGGAAGAGAGYTTTGGCTCCGCCGTCTTCCTCCGACGCACTAACCCAGAGAGAGAAGGTTACATCGAGTGTTGTATGGAGTCGATGTTGGTTCGGATGACCGGGAGCGCGGGATCTTGCCCGTGTTCATCGCCTACCTCCGATCGTCTCATCTCGCTACCGACCTTCCCCATCACAGATGACGACAACGTCTACTGCGGTGCGGACGTACGGCGCGCGCTGAGGCGAACGGAGCAAGTGTCACGGTGTTGGCGAGACCCACCTCGGGCTTGTGATATAAGGGGGAATGGGTTGTTCTTGATTGAGCGTTTTGATTCCCCAACTCTAATATTGCCTTATACGGGTTGGACCGTGTTGCCCTGGTCAGCCACTCACGCCGCGTGGTGGCCGCAGTTTGATTGTCGCTGGTGTCGCCAGGGGGACTCCTGATCTTGGCGATGGCTGGTCTTGGGCTACGAGGGAGCGACACGTTTCCCCGAGCTTTCCCGTAGTACGGGGGCGCTGCCCGCGCAATTTCGAATTCGGATGTCGGCGAGTCCTCCCGCCGTTTCGCCCTCTCGGGAACTTCTGCGCGGACTTTGCGAGTCCGACGCCGAGGCCTGAAGGCTTCGAACCCATGACGGCCGGAGTTTCTGTCGTCCGCCGCCATGGCCCCCTCCCCTTGATGCCTTTTCTAGTCCTGATGCACGACGATAATTCATTTTCGCGGAAACCCTTCTGATTTTGTCGTTTTGGAGTGATCCGACCCCCACGGGACTTCGCGACGACAGTTCGACTCCGGGGAAAACCTCTGGCACGAAACGTGGGCCTCCCGTTCCGTATGGGAGACTCAACCCTTACGGCCAAAAATCCTCGATGACGCCCCTCCTAGAACTCTGATCAGCGACCCCGTACGGGACATCGCGAGGGGGCGTGAGGTTACGTATCACAAGTATCCTCCAAGATCATGAACAAGCTACTGAACTTTGGGATAGATGATGAGAAAACTACGAATCCTTTTTTACAATCACTAAACACCTCCTGAAATCCACAGCATACGATCACTAAACACCTCTGAGCTGGTGTACGTCGTCGTTGCGTTGCTGCTTCTCTTGGCGGTTGGTGGCATCTCCAGCTGCTGTGGTGACGGCGCTACCAACGGGGTCGCTACATTTGCAGTGCTTCGCTATGCGAGAACGTACTTCACTTCACTTTTTTTTGTGTAGAGGAACCTGAAACCATGAGGCCAATGGCGGATTTGGGACTGAACGTGCTCTTGGCACGGTTGAGATCGTCGTTGCTTTGTCATCACTCTCGGGTTCTCCACGTGGGTGTTCACTTTTCCACTTCTTCCTCGATGCAGGGTGTTGGATGTATTAGTAATCGGCCGAGGGTAGGTGTAGGATGATGTTCGATATAAGGAGGTAGGCTGTAGGATTAACCTCCATGCTTTGAGCACTCGGTTTGTTGGGTAGAATTCTCCTAATGAGACTACGTGCGGGGTAGGCGAAACGCGTTGAGGAGAGGCCGTGTGATGTGTGGTGCGAGTTTGTTCTTGTGAGTGCTGGATCGATCCTGTTTTTACTTGGTGTATCTTTTGGTTGATTCCTCTGGTTTGTTTTTTTGCTCAAAATATAGGGTGCGTAATAGTTGGCTCTCATGGGTGTATCTTTCTGTACTATTCTCACGTAGAAACTGATTTCGCTGGCCAGTTCCTTCACTTCCAAACACTTAAGTATTTAAGGGATTTCCAACAGATCATAACAAAGCTCACCAAAACTGACTTATTCTCTGACAAACTCATCCAGGCCTCACGTCTTCTATCTGCTAGGTTACAGAGCAACGCGACTCACTCCAACTTCGGCCAGTGTCTTCATGTGTCAGCAACCCCCAACTGTCCCTTAGGATGCCCCGACATTAGCATCCCCAGATTTGTCTACAAGGCCTCATGCCCTAACCTTCGCCAAGTTATAGGGCATCACCCCGGCTCAGGCCAGCGCTGTTGTGGCATTGAACAGTCACGGATCCTGAATATAACAATCTAATTTCAATGCAGCTTTGTACAAACCACCAGGAGACCCGTAGAGCCCTGAGAGATTCTTCAAACTACCAGGAATAACAAGGGCGCTTGTTTTGAAAATTCCAGAAAAAATCTGGAAGAGTACCAACCTTTTTTTTTTTTTTTTTTTTTTATAAGTCCAGGGTGTTGTAGAGGCTGTGACGAACCACTTTCAGAAATCGCGCGACTTTCTGCGCGAAGCTAATTGGGGGAATGCGACGGGTCGAAGGGGTGAGTTGTGGAAGGATGGGTCGGGCGGGCTAGTTGCATGGATGCCCTCGTTTCTTTTCGTTTTTACGAGAAGTCGTCAGATCGGTGTCGGGAAAATCCTGTGCCAACGGTTGAGTAGCGCGCCTTAGCAAGCGCGAGAAATAACTGTGCTATAACTTCCTTCTTGTTCTGTTGTGAGCACTAGGAATTATGGCGTGATCATCACGCGGGAATATCGTTTTTGAAATTTTCAACTGATGTCAAGCCTCCACGAACTCACGAAATTGTTTTTCTTTCTGTCTTTTTGGAATTTCCCTTTACAATTAGGACTTACGAGAGGAATTTAGGAACTCTGAATTTTGCTGCGTCGCGCCTGCGAGCATCTTGTTGCGCTGGGAACTGGGCTCTGACTGCATCACGCCCTTAATCTTGTGTAAATGTCGTTTTGGCGGGCGCGATTGTAACTGTATCCTTCTTCTTTCTTGGTCCCCTTGTGTTTGTCCGCCTTCTCCTTCTTCCTCGCCTCGCATGCTCCGTTCTAATTGGCCTGAATGCCTGCATAACCGGATCGATGCGTGAAGTGTGGCTACGACCCCCATGCCGCGGCCTGGCCATGCAAATGTAGGCACTTCCTCTCTTCTCCTCTTGTCCACCTGGGCTTAATCCTGTACCTTTCGCACAGACACGCATACTATAAATTTTGCAAGCGCGATTAGTTGTCTCGCTAAGAATTTCGAGGTTAGCGCGATCAGTGAGGGTCGCTAACGAGCACGCTCGAAAGGTGAGTGAGTGTGCGAGTTGGGCATTCCGACGAGCTGGTGTCAGGTGTGCGGGGTTGACGTACGGGGCCACGACGGACTATGGCGCACGGGCGAACCTGGCTTGCATGCTCGAACCAAGCGGGGTGACAACTCTATGTTGATGCGCGGCGACGAACTGCCCACATCGGGAGCGCTTGAAGAGAGAGAGAGAGAGAGAGAGAGAGAGAGAG